GAAATAGAAAACACATTACACTGTATTCTACTGCCAAAGAACTGTGCAACCTTAGACAAGTCACTTTCTCCCTCTGGGCCTGAGTTGATTCCTCTATAATATGAGAAAATTGAATATGACAATCTCCAAAATTCCCTCCTATTCAGATCTTCTAACTGCCTAATTGCATAAATACCTCCTTGTAGCTCTTGTTTCCTTTTTGGTCATCCTGCATTCAGGAATCATTAACTATCTGAGCAGAAATGGCTATTTTCTCAATGTAGAAACTCATTCTGTCCTATAAAGCACTCACTGAAATGCCTGCTTCCTTCCAGGCTTTTTAAAAGAGTTTTGGGTAAATGCCTTGTATCAATGTGATCAATGGGCAACATACCAGCTTTCATTTGGGTCATGAGTATGTGCAGGTGTTTGCACATGGGGAGGAATGAGGAATGGTACTGTGCAGGCATCAGACCAGTCATATACATCATATACAGAACAGGCTTTCTATATTTTTATCGTAGAGCAGTTATTTTGTATTTACTTGCAGATTTTATTGTTTTCAAATTTTATCTCATCTTTGCAAAATATTCCAGCAGCCTCATTGTCATGCAGTTAGAAAAATTAAACTTCTTTTCCTAACAGGGTTATTCTTCATTTGTGTGCTGGCATTTCGAAAATGAAAAAGAGCTGTCAAGAATGGTGCAACTCATTCCTGCCAGCCTTCCTTTGTTAATTAGTGCTCAATGGCAACCACAATAATTAATTTTTAAAAAATTGCATTGGGTTGGTAATCAAAGATATGTTTACAGAAAATAAGGGTTATGGAATTAAACATTGAAATGAAGCATTGCTTCTAATTAGAAGAGATGTAGGTAAAGAAATCTGGAGACAGCATTCTAGAAGTCTTAGGGGGCCACCTGGTCTATTCTCTAATTGCACCTAAATGAGTACAGATTTTGAAGATTTTCTAACTTGGACTTTCCATCATTTCACAACCCACTGAATCAAGGATTTTTGTTGGTGTTGTGATTTTTTCCAAAGAGTTCATGCAGCACTGAACGTTCATTACTTTCTCTAGACTTTAATAAAAGCAGAAGATTGGTTCATCTATTTAATATCTCCAAAAGTGTGAAGGGATTCAGTGGTTCACTTCAGAATTTTTCTTTCCTATTAAAAATTATTCTGAT